AAAGATCCTGGTGTGTTTTCTCTTCTTTCTTCACCTTCCCAGAGGGAGACATAAGTGCCAACAACTATATATACTTTTTGAGTTCTCCAGGGGGGTCATTTTCATTTTGAGGACTTAGGCTGATCTCAAGAACCACTTTCACTACAATATCTACAACATGGTCATGTATGTTGTAATATTATGTATAGGTCCAAATTTTGTATCAGTGTGCTAAAAGAGAAATAGACTCAAACACAGGAAAAAAAAAAGATATACATTTATTGAAAGAGTTACACATGATAAGAAAAAGTTATATATAAAGGGAAAACAGTTGCTGTTGAGTCTTCTGTTCACCAATGAGCCTGTGTTGCATATCCTGTAGAGGACCTTCAGACATGTACTGCACTGTTCAGTAATCCTGGCATGAGGTGCAAGATGATGTAGGCTTTGGTTCTAATATACCTTACTGGCACCATAAACCATGCACTCAACTGAACAAATAAAGTTTTTAAAGTATATATATTGTGATTTTTTTTTTAGCTTTGGTTAGAGAAAGCAATGAATAAACCTCTGACAGCATTTTTGATATATCTCATTGTGAAGATTTCCCATCACTTACTGTTCTAGAGATGCAGCGGGAAGTAATAGAAAATCTCTACAAAGTTAGGAGAATTCCCCTATTAAATAGGTTTAACTAGACCAGGTGTCCCCATTTACCCTGACCTCCTGTTTTGGTGAAAACTATAACATGTTGGGTTTCTATGACTTTCTGTCTTGGTGACAATGACCCAAGGAATGTACTGAAAGTAATGCAAAAGTGATAATAATCTATTTATTAACTTATCATTCAAATTGTTTGAGTAACTTTCCTTTATAGTAAGTCTTCTTCATCTTCTGTTTCATTTGCAGGTAAATCATGGACATCCCATGCACCCCTTACCCCATCCAGGTTTAATACCCCTAGTGAAACTTAAAAAGCCAAGCTCAAGGACTGTTCACTGTCTCTGTGAGTCGGTGGAGGGAGTGTGTTGCCTGGCTCTGCAGGATTATAGGGGGACCCAAGACTTCAGTGACTCCTAAGGGGGTAGTGCTACATTACTAATTCTGCCACTAGTTGGTATTATTTTTGTATAGTGCGATGTTCTCCATAGAGGAACTACAAGATTACGATGTAATTTCCTGTCTGTTTGTTCCTTTAGTTTTCCATTAAAACAGGAAGGGCTCAGCTATGTGTCCAGCGCTATCTGCACTGGTAGGAGTCATATCTGCAGAAGCTTTCCAACAATATGGCATATACTGCATGACCACTTCGTGGCATGGAAACCTCTATATGTATGCTCTTATCTTACTTTAGTTAGTGAGCCATTGAAGTTGATTTCCTAAAATTGGAAAGTACAAAATACGGTGCATGGTAGCCAGGTTCAGTTTCTAACTTCAGCTTATTTAGTTATGTTTAGTTAAGCTTTGAAAAAAATAAACCTGGAAGCTGATTGCTTTCTATACAGAACTGCAGCAGATTTTGCACTCTTCAGTTTTAGTAAATCAACCCCATTATGTACATACGGATCCATAGTTCTAAAAGAGGGGAAGTGAAGTGACAGGAACAGGACTTCTTTAAAATCCTTATACAAACTGTAGTTGGCTGGTGTTGTACCTATTTGTGACTGATATGGAAATGCATGTTTAATAAAACACATTACCTGTATAATTTTGTAATAAGACTGAAATAACACTATAAGAGGATCACAGTCAGATAGATCATGAACATGTAAAAAAGGTGATAGATGCTCTTTAATTCTTAGCTCTGTATCCTTTATTGGCTGTTGGAAACACTGTACTTGTTATCCAATCACATTTTTACAATCCCTCCCTGTTGTCAAAGGCTTAGTTTTTAACATGAAAGCATATTTGCAGCGTCTTGTCAAGCAGAAACAGCCATAAATAAATAATTGTGAGCGTTGCTTTTTGCAGACATATGTCACATCTGTTGTGGGATTAACGTGGTGAAACGCCTCTCCGCGAGGCTGCATCTAGAGCAATTCATCAGAAACTGAGGGGGGATAAAAGCTTCCTATTTGATTGAGTGAGTAAAACGATTCCGCCGTTTGATCTAGTTCCAACTAACTGAATAAAAATAATATATAACTGTTTAGTCAAAGGCTGACTATGTGCATTGTTTTACTAAACTGGAGTTCAGGGACTTCTGTCATATATCCAAGAGTATTGCTGTCACAATCACTATTACTCAGTGCTTGCTGGTAAAATACAGTCTGGGGCTGGGGAATAAGGTGCATCAAGTATTAAAAGAGAAACCCAAATACAATTATTGAGTAACTTGAAACAACCAATCAAATTGCTACATTCTACTGCACTTTAGAAAGTTGAAGATGGCTTTGGCTGGGAGCCTTAGGGGAAGGTTTTCAATGAGGTGCAATAAGGATTATATCTATAGGTGCCAGTAGGGGAGGGGTGCCCCAGAATCAGCTGTCATTTTGACAGTCATGGTCTGTGTTGCAGGAGGTGCTGGTAGTGTGTAAACAATGTTTTCAGGCTTTGTTTATATTTATGCAGGAGCTCTGACATTGGCTCATGCATAAACCATGCCTGCTAACAATTGTTTTCAGGCTTTATTTATGCACTTCTTTTTAAGGCCCCTTTTACATGGGTGAACCAATCAGGTCTGCCTGTCAGTTTTTGAGTTCATTTACACCTATATACTTACAATACGATCTACTAGAAAAAAAAAACAGAAGGGGATTCGTCCTCCTCTAAGTTGATCGGATCAGAGGATAGTCAGGTGTGAATGGACAGCTGGACCATTTTTATTTTTTTTCTACAAAGGAAGGGGAAAAATAGAAAAAAACAAATTTCCTGGATTTCCACTTTAACTTTTTTCTCCTTTTTTGCCTTTATTGCAAAAGCAACTGGCCCCATAGCGAAAATGTAGAAATTGACAATAGACAGATAATACCTTCTGCATCAAATGCTTCTGTCAACAATAGGTCACTTGAAAAATATTTGGATTGAGGGGGGGACTAGGGATCAATTGAGAGTACTGATTTAAGCTGGCCATGCACTAGCAGAATTTCTTTCAAAAATATTTGTTTTTAGAATGTTCATTTTATTTTGTAATAGTTAGTGGGGTGCGATGATGTTCGATTTTGACTGCAATGACATGAAAATTCGAAGGAACAGTGAATGTGGTTTTGATCACGAAAGTTAATTCACTTCAAAATGTTAAATGCTAAAATTGATTATTTTGTAAATACTTTCACATAACTTTAAACAAGCCATTGAATGTACTGGAGAATTTGTGTATGAATGTTTGTACAAACATTTATTTGAAAATAGTGTACGGCCAGCTTTATTTCCACTACAGGTTTTTCCATTTAGAATATCCTATGAAGTTTTATATCCCATTTGTCTCATTTCATTGCTGGGGAAAAGTATGATCAAAGCTATTTTGGCTATACATCTATGGATCAGAGCCGGTCCAGGCTCTGGAAAACTCCTGCCCCCTCCACAGCCTGGCACTCTAGTGAGCGCTGGAGGAATAGAGCAGAGAAACTGCAGGGGACAGATGCAGTTGGGATCCATGCTACAGCCATCTAGTTGAGCATGATTTTTTTTTTTTCTATTGCTGAACTTGTCTTTTAAATAACATACCTGGGGGGTGCCCTAATCTGGTCTGTGAAGCGGAACATCTCTGTGATGTACAGAAATTGCTTCAGCAGCACTGGCATTTGCAAAGGTAAAAAGTACTTTAAACAAATAACCTCATTGACAGCTTAATTTTTTTTGTTTTTTTAAAGCAAGGGTCTGTTGTGTATTTTTGGAGACCTTTAAAAGGGTCTCTGGCTGTCTTTTTTTAAGAAGCCAGCAATGAGATGTCATTTTCTAGCAAATTAAACAGTATAAAGCACCCAAATATTTGACGTCCTTTATTTAAAAAAAAAAAAAAAAATATCCCTGAAAAATGCCCCTCATTGTAAATTCATCTTCAAGCGCATTGCTTGGACCCATTTGTCTGAACACCTGAACAGGCAAAGTTCTGTGCAAACACCTTCAGCTCATCCCTATTTGCTACACAAGTCATTTTATCATTTTAATGTTATTTTTAAAAGTATGAAATGGTCAAACCTCCACTTTTTTCCTGTGTGCCATTCGGGGATTTGGCATCACTCCCTGTCCTGTAGACAGAGGAAGGGAAGGAACACCTTGGAAATGCCCTCCAAGGAAGAATTCCCTTGTGTTGCTGTTCCGGTAAGTGCTTGATATATTGGATCCTATCCCTCCCCCATTAAGTTTCAATGACAGTGGACACCAGGGCAAAGAGAGAAAGAGAGTTTTCCTAATAAGGACACAGACAGCAATAAAAACCTGGCCCCCCACCACTCTTTACAAAATTAAAATAAAATTCTTGGCCTTAGATATATTTAAATTGTAACTTTTCCATCATGTAATTAATGTATCTAGTTTTTCTTTGCATTAGCATCTTTCAAGTCTATATAATGCTGACAGCGTGACTGCAAGCTCTCTGTGTATGAATCCCATAGGCTCCAGAAACTGATGCAGGTGCCAGTCCCTTTAAAGGAGCACATCCTGCTCCATACATTTATTTTATAACAAACTGACTTTTATTGATTAAAATAAAATAATCAATGTTATTTTATATCCTATAGTAAAAGTAGTATTCTTGGCTTCAGCTTAGTCCCCTCACCCGGGTTGGGCTTAGTCATAAAGGTAGGAACGACCCAACATGTAGGATATATATGTATCATATGTATCATGAGTCCATTGATAAAATCAGGCACAGTTGAACCACTATTAACAAGCAGTGTTTTTTGCTATACTAGGAAAGGGGGAGAACAATGCAATATAATACAAGGATCTGTGATATAAATCATGAAAACTACAAAAAAAAGAGGGGGACAAAGCTAAAAGCCACAGTAGAATCCCTGACTAATATTCATATATATGCACACACACACACATAGGTGTATAAAATCAAGCACCTAGGCATGCGGGCTGCATCTACAAACATTTGAGAAATAATGAGTCACTCTCAGGAGCTCAATGAATTCAAGCGTGGTACCGTGATAGGTTGCCACCTGTGCAATAAGTCCATCCGTGAAATCTGCTAGCTACTAAATATTCCACTGTCAACTGTTAGTGGTATTATAACAAAGTGGAAGCAGCTGGGAACAACAGCAACTCAGCCACGAAGTGATAGGCCACGTAAAATGACAGAGGGGGGTCAGCGCATGTGCAGAAGTCACCAACTGTCTGCAGAGTCAATAGCTAAAGACATGCAAACTTTGTGTGGCCTTAGATTAGCAAAACAACTGTGCTCAAAGAGCTTCATGGAATGGGTCTCCATGGCCAAGCAGCTGCATCCAAGCCTTATATCACCAAGTGCAATACAAAGCATCGGATGCAGTAATGTAAAGCATGCAGCCACTGGACTCTAGAGCAATGGAGACATGTTCTCTAGAGTGACGAATCGTGCTTCTCTGTCTGGCAATCCAATGGACATGTCTGGGTTTGGCAACTCAAAGACAAAAGTGGCAACAGCGCAAAACCAGCATTTCTATACATTTATTGGAGATAAAAACATAACACACTTACACATTAAAACACAAGTGTCCAGCACCGAAGAAGCCCAGAGACATCATGGAGCAGATGGAGTGAAGCAGCAGTCAAAGTTCCTCTCATGCCAGCAGGGAGAGGATGTGTTTGATCTGACAGAATGCCAAAAACAGTTGAACAAATTAGACAAAGAGTTAGATCAGTTGAATGCACAACTAATGTCCCTTAAAATACGTGTTATATGCAGAGAAGGATAAAAAATTAAAAGAATATCTGAGTAAACTCAATAAAAATATTTTGATCAACAAAGAAAAAAAATTCCTAAGGGATAAAACCTCTTTCCAGGAAGGAAAGGCATGTGGAACAAGGGGCACAATAACTCTTAGGGGAAACAACATCATAACATGCCTAGAACTAATAACTATTATCCTAATGTTTTGCAATCACCGTCTAGTCTTTCCTCTGCTTCTGTCTCTTCCTAGATGCCATTCAAACACAGAGGAAATTGACATTTCAAATGGCAAAGAAATAGTGATGGGTCCCTTGACAAACGTCCCAAGAAAACCCACTTCGGAGGACTCTGCACTCCGAGATGGGTAACTATGCATGTGGGTGTCCTAATGCTTCATTGCATTGTGGCAGGACAATATCTCTTTCTTCTCCTCCTCGGAGAACATACACAGTGATGGGTGTTCTTATGAACCTGGTGAAATGCAAACCAGAAATGTGGACACATCTTTGCACACTTATCACAATATTGCCTCTCCTTTTTTACATCACAATCACAACAATACACAAGTGAACAAAGGACACAAAAAATAGAGACATACATGCTGAAAAAGGACATTTAGAAATTAATATAATAAATGTATCTTCATATCAACTATCCACCTTGAAATTGATGCTCTCTCAAAAGGTTTGAGTTTTTGTCCACAGGAGAATGTAGATAAATTTGAAACAATGAAAGATATCCAACTCTTTGCTCGTAAACTGTTACTTAAAACCATGTATGATAAAAAAAAAGATAAAGACGGACCTCCCTTCATAAGGTTCCCATGTTTTACACTCTACCCAAAATTCATAAAACAGCAAACAACCCTGCAGGGGGAGACCAATTATCTCAGGGAATGTTGCCGTGACCGAAAACCTGAGCCGTTTAGTGGATGAATATTTTAAACCCTATGTTTTAAGCCTCCCCTCTTTTATTAAAGACACCATTCACCTTTTACAGATCATTGATAACCTCCATATATCGGATGAGGCTATACTTGTGACCATAGAAGTGGAGGCGCTATATAGATCAATACCCCATGGCAGAGGTTTAGCTGCTGTTAGACATGTGTTGACCCCATGACGACAACAAGCATTGGGCATTCAATAATTTCATCATTGCGGCCTTGGATTATATTGTTCATCATAACACCTTCATTTTCAATGGCTCCCACTACCTTCAGATGTGGGGGGAGGGGCTATGGGAACATGTTGTCCCCTTTCTTACACCAACCTGTACCTGGGGGAGTGGGAGCGTATGTTTATGGTGGTTGAGGCCTTGCCGATGTATACTGACCACATTTGTATGTGGTACAGATACATCGATGATATAATGGTTGTGTGGGATGGCTCTGTTGATTTATTTACAAAATATCTCGATATAATGAATAGAAATAATTTCAATTTAACCTTTACTATGACACACAAGGTGATATTCATCGATGTGGTTATTGAGAAAAAAAGAGGATGGTGTTTTAGCCAGCCGCTTGTTTCGCAAACCCACAGCTGGTAACACCAACCTACATGCTTCAAGTTTCCATCCCTTACAGCCAGTACTTACAAGTAAGGAGAAATTGTTCTGTTGATGCCACCTTTAAAATAGAAGCTGCAGCCTTAAAATAAGACTCTTGGAAAGGGAAAATACAAAATCATGTTTAAAAGGAGCCTACAAATGAGCATTGACCTTTAATAGACATGATTTGCTATATAAGAAAAAGGAAAAAGAACCTGAAACATTTGCTAGAATCATTCTAAAATTCTCAAAACAAAATCAAAATATTCACAATATAATACAGAAATACTGGGCACTTACTTTCCATGGATTCCTCGGTTGGTAAATACAGTAGGGATCGAAAGTCTGGGCACCCCAGCTAAAAATTTGTATTAATGTGCATAAAGAAGCCAAGGAAAGATGGAAAAATCTCCAAAAGGCATCAAATTACAGATTAGACATTCTTATAATATGTCAACAAAAGTTAGATTTTATTTCCATCATTTACACTTTCAAATTTACAGAAAACAAAAAAATGGCGTCTGCAAAAGTTTGGGCACCCTGCAGAGTTAATATCTTGTACTGCCCCCTTTGGCAAGTATCACAGCTTGTAAACGCTTTTTGTAGCCAGCCAAGAGTCTTTCAATTCTTGTTTGAGAGCCATGGTATCTTTGCCCATTCTTCCTTACAAAAGTCTTCCAGTTCTTTGAGATTTCTGGGCTGTCTGTCACGCACTGCTCTTTTAAGGTCTATCCATAGATTTTCAATTATGTTGAGGTCAGGAGATTGTGAAGGCCATGGCAAAACCTTCAGTTTACGCCTCTTGATGTAATCCCCCATGGATTTTGAGGTGTGTTTAGGATCATTATCCATTTGTAGAAGCCATCCTCTCTTTAACTTCAGCTTTTTCACAGATGGCATCAAGTTTACCATCCAAAATTTGCTGAAATTTTATTGAATCCATTTTTCCTTCTACTCGTGAGATGTTCCCTGTGCCAGTGGCTGCAACACAACCCCAAAGCATGATTGATCCAACCCCATGCTTAACAGTTGGACAGAGGTTCTTTTCATTAAATTCTGTGCCCTTTCTTCTCCAAACGTACCTTTGCTCATTCCGGCCAAAAAGTTCAATTTTAACCTCATCGGTCCACAGAACTTGTTTCCAAAATGCATCAGGCTTGTCTATATGTTCATTTGCAAAGTTCAAACGATTATTTTTGTGGTGTAAAAATGTAGAAGAGGTTTTCTTCTGATGACTGTTCCATGAAGACCATATTTGTACAAGTATCTCTTTATAGTGGAATAGTGTACCACAACTCCAGTGTCTGCCAGATCTTTCTGGAGGGATCGTGCAGTCAAATGTGGGTTTTGAATTGTTTTTCTCACAATCCTGCGAGCTGTTCTGTCTGATATTTTTCTTGGTCTTCCAGATCTTGCTTTAACTTCCACTGTTCCTGATGACTGCCATTTCTTAAATTACATTCCAAACAGAGGATATTGACATCTGAAAACGCTTTGCTATCTTCTTATAGCCTTCTCCAGCTTTGTGAGCGTCAACTATTTTCAGTTTCAGATTTCTAGACAACTGCTTAGAAGAACCCATGGTGCTGATTGTTGGGGCAAGGTTAGATGAGTCTGGGCATTTAAAACCTTTGAGATTGACATAACCTGGTCTTCCCAGATGATGATTGAGAACAATCCATGACACTGGCAGGTCTCAGCTTTGCAAAGGGGGCAGTGCATGCTATAAATTCTGCAGGGTGCCCAAACTTTTGCAGACGCCATTTTTTTGTTTTCTGTTATTTTGAAAGTGTAAAATGATGGAAATAAAATCTAACTTTTGTTGACATATTATAAGAATGTCTAATCTGTAATTGGATGCCTTTTGGAGATTTTTCCATCTTTCCTTGGCTTCTTTATGCACATTAATACAAATTTTTTAGCTGGGGTGCCCAAACTTTCGATCCCCACTGTACATATCTCCAACTCCTCGAATAGAAAGCTACCTCCATTAGGGATCGAGTTATTAGAAGTGAGTATAAGGATGGGGGGGGGGGCATAAGTAGTCATCATGCTGGAAAATTTCCAAAAACCAAATTTATCATTCTAGATCAGATACATCCCAGTCCACGGGGTGGTGATTGGAATAAATTATTGCTGTAACAAGAATTGAAATGGATTTATTCACTCAATTCCACCTCTACACCTGGCCTCAATGAGGCCATTCATTTTAGGCCCTTCTTGGAGGGTTTTGTGTCTGGAGGGATGGAAAAATAGTTATCACAGCGATATTAGGGACCCCGCCTCCGATTTGCCCATGTATATATCCTTTCCCCCCTGCATATTTTGTGGTGTTTTGCCACTTTGTTGTTTGTTGCCCTATTTTTTTGTATAATCTTTGCAGGGGATTTTATTATTATATGGTGTCCATTTTCCTATACATCAGTATCCATATTATGTTTTCTCATCTCTTTGATTCATTCCTTATCATGTCTACTCATTTGTGATTATTTGCACACGCACTTTTGACGGTAGTGGAACCATGTATGTTACATCAGAGTTTGTATATGTAGGTTGGAGAGGTTCCTTCGCTTATTTATTTTTGTTTATCAGGCTAGAACCTCTGTCAACTTTTTTTTCTAACAACCAGAATTGCTCTTTATTTGTTTGTATCAATGGTACAAATATAACAAAGTAATCACAAATACATAGCAGTAGCATGATAGAACATACAGGGCCAAAATCGTTAAAGCTAAGTGCAATAAGCACAGACTAAGTACCTCTAAAATTGTGTAGAACATATTTAGGGAGGATAACTAGGTAAAGATAGGTAGCAACACTTAGCATAAAAAGGCATCACAAGAAAAAGAAAAAAGGGGAAACACACAAGGGGCCTCACTGCGCCACCCATGGCTGCTAAATCTTGTATTTACCCAGGCAATTTCTATAAAATATAAGTTAATTTGTACATGGGTAGCACAGCATTAATTGCAGTTTTCCATGATGCTAATGTGGGAGGAGACGGGGACTTCACTTACAGAGAATGTC